CAATTCAAGGTCATGAGTAGGATAATTTCGCTCATGCACCCTCAATTGTCGCGACGCATAAGCTACCACTTTTCCATTATGCATAAGAACTCCGCCCAATCCCATCTTGGACGCATCACAATACACCACAAACGGCTCACACGGATTTGGTAACACCAACACCGGCGCCGAAGTCAATCTCTTTTTCAGCTCCTCAAAACTTTCCTCACAAGCAGCATCCCAAACAAACACTTGATCTTTCCTCGTCAACTGAGTCAATGGTAAAGCCAACCTGGAAAAGCCCTCAATAAATCTTCGGTAATAACCAGCTAAACTCAAGAAGCTTCTAACCTCAGTTACCGTCTTCGGTGGTTCCCACTGCAACACCCCACTAACTTTCGAAGGGTCTACCGAAATACCATCACCCGAAATAACATGCCCCAGAAAACTCACAGTCTTCAACCAGAACTCACACTTCGATAACTTGGCAAACAACTTGTTATCCTTCAACACTTGTAAAGCGATCCTCAAATGCTCCGCATGCTCTTCCTCAGACTTAGAATAATCCAGTATGTCATCAATGAACACGGCAATAAACGTATCCAAATAAGAATGGAAGAGACGGTTCATATATTCCATAAACACACCTAGCGCATTAGACACTCCGAAAGGCATTACCGCATACTCGTAATGTCCATATCAAGTCCTAAACGCCATTTTCTGAATATCACCTTCCTTAACTCTTATCTGATGATAGCCCGACCTCAAGTCGATCTTACTGAACACACGAGCTCCCACTAACTGATCCATCAAATCATCAATTCTTGGAAGAGGATATTTGTTCTTGATGGTCACTTTGTTCAACTGACGGTAATCGATGCACAACCGCATGCTACCATCCTTCTTCTTTACTAACAACACTGGAGCTCCCCACGGTGACACACTTGGTCTGATAAACTTTCTATCCAGCAACTCTCCAATCTGAGATTTCAACTCAGCCAACTCCACTGCCGACATCCTGTACGGCGTCATAGAAATAGGCCTCGTACCAGGTACCAGTTCAATGCTAAACTCAACTTCTCTCTTCGGAGGCAACTCTGTAATATCATCCGGGAACACCTCCGGAAACTCATTCACCACGGCTAACTCATCCAACAATGCTTTGTTGTCAACAGACAGTGTTGCAAATAAAGCAAACACCTGCGCTTCGTCTTCCAACAAGGTTCTCAATTCCTTACTAGACAAGGAATCTGCCAACGCTTCCTCTTCAGGGGTCAAAAATAATAACACTTTCCGAAAACAATTGATGTACACTCGGTTGAACTCCAACCATTTCATACCCAGTATAACATCCAAACCACCAAGTGGAAAACAAATCAAATCCACACCAAAATCTCAGCCAAAGATAGTCAGTGGACACTTCAAACACACAAGCGAAGTAGTCACTGAACCAATCGAGGGAGTTTCAATAGTCATCCGCCGCTCAAGAGTAGTCGGCACCAAACCTAACCTCTTCACACAATCAACAGAGATAAACGAGTGGGTCGCACCCGTGTCAATCATAGCAGTCAAAGGAATGTTATTGATAAAACATGTACCTTTGATCGAACGCTCCTCGTCTGCCGACTGAGTACCCACCACCGCAAACACTTTACCGCTGGCCTGAGGCGCCTGAGCCCTCCTTGGCTTCAATGAGTGCTAATATGGCCTTTATCACTGCAGTTATAACAAGTAGGCATATTAGTCCTACAATCCACCATCACATGGCCCGGCTTCCCACACTTGAAGCACTTCTTAATCTCTTGAGGACAATCAATAGCACGATGCCCAGTTGTCACGGTGAAATTTGGATACCAAACTATTGATTAGTTTGAATCTTTAATTCAATTTGCAACCGAACTTTGATTTGTCTAAAGGAAGGGATAAAGATCGAAATTCCCACAATGCAATGCAAATGCAAGGTTTAAAGAGTTTAGGTTCGGGGGTTGGTTAAACTTAGGGAAGGTACTAGCATCCTAAGTTTCTGTAGTACTCTACAGGAACCTCTTGTTTTATGTTGTTTATTGCTAAGTTATCTGCTTAAGGGTAATGTTAAGGGTTAAAGGTAAAGAAGGACCTAAGGGGGGTTAGTCCTAAGTATACTCGGCAAGACGTCGCATCTTGTGACTACATATCCTGATGGGAATGGAATCAGAGTATCTGTAGTTCCCCTCAAAAGGGTTTGAGGAATTATTGACTGTGAGTCAAAGTTCCAAAGGGAAATAAGTGTTCATATGGAAACGCTTACTTGGAGTGCGAAGACTCCTATCTATGTTAAAAATTGAATCGGAAAATATGAAGGTATGTTCACGAAGGGACGCCTAAAAGGTGAGTAAGGCAACTCGGGTCCTAAGGCTAGGATAGGGTGAATGTGAGGTATTGAATCGGCGGTCAAAAATGTGAACCTTTCCTTCGGAGAGGAGTAAACGGTAAAAATAAAGATAATGGTAAATGCGAGCAATGGTATGTAAGTGACGATAGCAAAGTGAACATTGTACAGTAAACAAATAATTAAAGATGAATTGATAAGTGAGGGTTTGATTTAGAAATTAATGATTAATTGTTTTTGAGATTTTTTTTTGGTTAAGTGAAAATTGTGACAAAGTGTTAGAATTAAATAATTATAATTTTTTTGAGATTTTATATGAATAAAGAAAGAATCTGGAATATAATTAAAAAATGCTAGATTAAGATAATCCTGAAAGAGTTAATTGTTTATTTTTAGAATTTTATGAAATTGAAAAGCTAGAATTAATTATTTTTAAAGTTTTTATGAGAATATTATTTAGTTAGATTTAAACTAAGCAATTTTTATTTTTTATTATTGAAAAAAAATTGAATTACAGCTAAACTAACACTTTTTATTTTTGTTATTTTTATTAAGATTTAGAAAATAGACTTGAATTACTAACAAAAGTTATTTTTATTGTTGAAGAGGAATTAGACTAAATGATCTTTTTTTAAAAAAATTAATTTTATTTTACTCTTTTTTTATGATTTTTTATGTCTAATATTAAAAAGGTGTTTATAAATTAAATTAAAGGGTAAATTATTTTCTAGTAAAACAAACTATCCGCAGTTGTTCTTTAGATAAGCTGAGTCAAAGGGACTATTAAAAAATTTGTTTTGTTTATTTTAAATATTTTTGAAGATAAAAGGAAAATTTAAACTAAAACTTTTCCATATTCTTTTAAGTTATAAACAAAAAATCAGAATTAAAAATTAAGTTAATATTTTTTGTATATTAAAAAAAAAAGGTTTATTTTCATATTATTATCACTAATTACTAAATGTCCCTTTTTTGATTAAATTAGTAGTTAGTAGTGTTAGTGGTTTTATTAATAATAATTACAACTTATTACAACATAAAACTAAATCAAAACTAATAAAAAATAAAATAAAATAATAAAAAAGCTAAAATCGGGCCGATGGTGGTCAGCCCATCGGACCCGGGTCGACCCGCCCCCTCCTCATGACAAGAATCAAAATTAGGGTTCGGGGAAAATCCGCCGAAACCCTAACTTCGAACGGTGCCCCTTTTCCTTCTTCCTCTTCTTTGATTTCGCGTTACCTTCTTCTTCTTTTCCAATTTCTTTCACTGTTCTTCTTCCGATCTTCTTTCAAATTCTTCTTCCGAACCTCTTTCCCTGTAAATAAACAACACAAAGAAACAATGGATAATAGTTAATAGAACAAGAGACTACCTAAAGTGGGAGGCGATCGGGTTCGGTCTACTAGTGACTTCGTGGCAAGGGTGAAAAGGTCTCCGACGAGATTGAAAGGCTTCCAGCGGCGGCTCGATGGTGACGTTTGGAAATGGAAGCGGCTCACGGATGTTGAGGGTTTGAGAGTTTGGAACGTGATTTGCACGGCGGAACCTACAACAGATGAGTTCTCGTTTTTTTTGAATTTTTGGTTTTTTACGATTTGGGATTTTCGGTAGATGTTTGTGTTGCTGAGAATTGTTGTTCTGAATTCGCCCCCTCTTCATCTCTTAGGCCTCCTTTTATAGGCTTCAATTTGAGATGTTCTGATTGAAATTTGATTACTGTCTTTGAATGTTGATTGGGCTTTTCCATTTTGGGGTATATCAGATTTGAAAACTTTCTTTTTTCGTGAGATTGTAATGATGTGTGTTAATGAAAATTCCAACTTGTGATATTTGTATCAATTACGTTTAATATCATGATTCAATGTTCTGGATTTGCTAGCTGTCTGAATCAAATCTCTTTCTCAAATGGATATTCTGTGATGGGCTTCTGATCCTTGGATTATTGTTGGCAGGTGTAGATAGCAACGATTTTGAATATAAACCATGTACTGAATTTGGGAGTGGTTGGCCAATATCTGGAATCGCAGAAGATACCTGAGGATGATGAGTGGGGAGATCATGTACACTGATCGGTTGATGTTCATCTTCAGTTGCTAGCTGAAAATTAGACAAAGCCAACATATCCAAGTTGGAAGAGAACTCTGCAGCTACTAATTGATGAACCTGTTTCGGAGGCATCTTATTTGATTGGCAAGTACATCATCAACTGAACTAGATGCCAGTTGAACTTGATCAGATGAATTTTGCATTTCCCCAGTTGATTTGTCGGCGGCGGACTCCACAGATGGCAATTGTTTTCCGTGTTCTAGAGGCTCCTGGTTATTTGTGGTGCTATTATCCATCAATATAGCATTTGCTGAAGAATCTATATCCATATGATGATTAGCCACTGTATGGCAATTTTATGGCATTATAATAGGGATATCTCCATCAGGAATACTCAAGACCCCATCATGTATTTGTTGTTCCGAAGGTGGATTTGCGGAGCAAGAAAAGGTGCAAGGGCGAAATCAAAGTGGTGCAGACATGAATGTATTCCTCTGTTTGAGTCACAAAGGTAGGAATTGCTTCACTCAAGAGCGGGAGCCAGCACCAAATGCTTTGGGTACATATCTAACACTCGCAACTCCTCAATTCAATTTTATGCTAATTACCCTTTCTTCATGTTCCATTGCAGCTCTTTACGTGAAAACTCAAAGCCAAAGTCACTTGCGGAGTCGAAGAGGTAGCTTAATTTGATGTCGTGATCGTGAAGGTAGACAATAATGGCACTAAGATGAGCCTTGGACTGACTATTGGTAGCATCACACTTGTCAGCTGCCAAGCCCAATCTCAACAGGGAAGATGCGGCATCTGTATATTTCTCAAGTTTTATATAAACACTAGTTACAACACGGTAGAGATCAAAGGCCATCTGTTCCTTATCATCTTCAAGAATTGTACAGGCATCTGTATATAACTGAATAGCTTCTTCAGGCATAAAGCATGAGCTCCCTTTTGCAAGAGCATCCGATGCAGGTTGTGGTCTACCGCACTCCATGTATAACTGAGATGCCTTTTGATAGAAGTCTCCAACTTCTCTCCAGTTGCTCAACTCCTTGGCCAGAGCAGCAGCAGATTCCATGTGCTTAGCCGCATCCCAAGGTGAAGAAAGCATCTCTTGTCCTTGCAAAGCTTTCTCATAAGCCAACTTGTCTTTCTCATGATTCTTGGAAGCTCTAAACCCAATAGCAGCCTGTTCATAAAGACCAGTAGCAATCTTCCAATCAGCACTCCACCTAGTAAGACTGAGTTTCATTAGTTTATCAGCTTTGGTTAACAACTTGTTGGGATCAGAAGACGCCATGATTGTGTTGTTTGCGTCTTGACAGGGTTCTTCCGTGTTGTTGTGGTAAAATTGATGATTGATGAACATTCGGTTCCCTGGAGTAGAGCAACGAACCGCTGCTGTGAATATCTTCACTCTGTCGTGAGCTTTGTAAGTCTGTCCTCAGCTCTGAAGTGATTTTGGGAAACCAAGTGAGGCTGTCGTAAAACAAATCACGCCAAGTTGTAGTGGTAAGTCAATGTCACCCTTCCTTCTTTGCTTTCCCTTGTACTGGTTCCATTCGAGTGTTCATTACCAAGCGGAGATTGAATTTGATTCCATTTCTTCATTGTTGTTGCAGGCTTTTGAGTTTTGGCAAGGAAGAGGTGGGAATGATCCATCACTTTGTGCATCATAAGCAGGTGAAGGTGGCTGCTGCGGTTGCACAACTTGACCATTCCAGGCATACTACTGTTGGGGGTAAAATACACCTTGAGATATGATAGTTTGGTTGTTGAAATTGAGGGGTTGTGCGTGAATGCATGCCTGCATCCATAAGGCTAAGCAAATGCATGGCAGGTATTGTCTCATTAGAGTACAAATCCAAATATCCCCTCAAATTTTGATGAGGCTCTATTCCATTATGTTTGCAAGGAAATGGGTATTCTCCATTTACCCTACTGCTGAAGACTCCAGCACCTGTATTCCTACTACTATGCTTTTCTTGGCATGTAGCATTGGTATTTGTGTAGTTAAGATTAATATCCCTCCTCAAGTTCTGCGTATGTACTGCACCAGATCGGAGTGAATTCATGAACCTCACGCAAATTTCCGCTGTGTTGGATTGTTATGCTACTAACAAGGCTGTTTGTTTCTCTTATGTGCAGGGTGACGCGAAACGAGGTGTTTCGGATTTTGTGACTGCAAGTGACACGCCGATGGGAAGACAGCCGTTATTGCCAACAATCAAGCTTCGGCCTCAGCATGCTCTACTGGTCTTAGAAGATACATCATGTTTTAACATCTTCTTCTGCTCTCTACCATGAACACCGTCGTATTCGGAAGTCACATAATTGTATTATGTTTTGGTTTGTAGGAAGTGAGGACGCCGGATCATGTATTAAGATGGTGTAAGGGTGGATGCGTTCTTCCGCGTGGTAAGCTCGTTAACTTCTCCGGATCGGCAATGTCGCCAGAGCAGCAGTAATATCCTCAGAAATTATCATAGACTCAAGCCTTGGTTAACTCTAGTTCTAGTTCTTAAGTGTCAGTTGTAATGCTTAGTCAAGTTTGTTAGATTTTATGGTACCGAACTTATAACTTCCGCCTGTAGCTGGATTAATATTCAAGGGTTCAGTATTTGCATCCTGTTTTGAGTAAAATGTTATGCTTTGAAACCATCAATGGCGCAATACCTTGTGACTGTCGCTACTGTGAAAATCGGCGCCGGCTATGACAGGAGAGTCTCCACCGTGCGTTATTTATCCCACAAGAGGGAAAGGAAACGCTCAGAGTAAACCTAACGCAAAGAGGGAAAAGAATGGTCATCGCAACCAAATCCTGGATTCGGGAGTCGGTTACGCAAGGGGAAGGTATTAGCACCCCTCACGTCCGTCGTACTCGACGGGATCCACGCTTGTTTTCTATCTAAGGGTGTGTTATTCTATCTATTCTACAGGTTTGGGTTAAAAAGAAAAGAAAATGAATCGGCAAAGTATCGCACTTTATGCCTACGTATTCCCGTCTGAAATGAGAAATCATAGTCAACGTAGTTCGCCTAACTACGGGAAAGGAGGGGAAGGTTGCTCGCTAGGATATCGCATCTTATGCCTACGTACTTTCATACAGCATGAAAGATCAGAACAGACGTAGTTCGGGCTACGGAGGACACAAGCTTGTCTGACTGTTTTTATGTCCTTATGAAAGGGTTTTCCTGATTAAGGGTCCAAGCGGACAAAAAATGACATTTGAAGTTTGTTTTCAGTTTTTTACGAAAGAACTGTTTTTTAGTTTGTTTGCAACTTGTACTGCACTAAAGACTTGTGATCTGAGAGTGACTACGTCGCATGTCCCTAAGGGTACCATACTAAGCAGCCAGATTACTGAAGAGTGACCCTCCAGCAACCCTTTCTCAAATAGCTTAAGGCTCGTAACGTACAACACGCGTTATCCTTATTACTGTGTTTTTGAATTGTTTTGAGATGAGAAGATAAAGACGCTCTAAAAAGCCTATGGTTGAAAGGGAAACTAACCTAATGTTATCATGCATGGGTCAAAACCTAATGTCTGTCATAATTTCCTCTTGCACATAGGAAATCAGAGATCCTAGAGGATAAACACCAAAAGAAAGCAAGCAAATACAGTAAACAGTAAAATACATGCAATGCAACAATACAAGCGAGGCAAGGGAGTCCTGCTCTACCTCGAACCTGGGAAAAAAACAGGCAAAGTGAATCAACTTCACTTCAAACCTATGGGGTAAGCAACACAAGCCAACAAACAATACAGAGAAAAACAAAAAAACACAAAGGAGGCAACCCAAGCAGCAACACCAAACTCCTACAGCAAACAGCAACAGCAATAGTAAGCTCTAAACAACAACAGTTGATTTGACAGCAAAGTTGACAGCAAAGGCTTCATCTTCAAGCAAGCTTCTATCTTCAAGCTTCAATCAATCTTCAAGCTCCAACAAGAACACTCCAAGAAGAGGATTAATCATCAAGATCAAATTATAATGTTAAGAAACTTAATGACAACCAAAGGAAATCACTAAGAACTCAACATTGCAAATGAAAGGTATCCTCAAAGTTCTACTCACTTGGGCATACCACTCATCCATCCTAAGTAGATATGGAGCTTCCCAAGGAGGACTTTATGTCATTGGATGGAGTAGAGGCAAACAATGCACTCTATGTTTGAAGAAAGAATCAAAACTAGGTCTAAGGCACTTCCTAAAACCCTAATTTCCTAAGCTCCTAATAAAAAGCTCCACAAGAGGAAAAGCCTTAAACTCCAAGCTCCATTCTTCAAGCCATAGCATCTTCAATGAATCCAGAAGCTCCACCAAAAATGAAATCAAGCAAAAACCAGCTCCAAAGCAGCCAACCATACCAAACAAACAAAGGCACTCAAGAGAGAACACCACAAACACAAGCAACTTGCAAAATACAACTAAAATAGAAAACAAAGTTGTAAAATTATAATTAAATTCCTAGGGGAACATACATGTTTGAACATCCTATTGTAAAAAGATTGAAGCTTAAATCAATTTCTAAGTTATCTAAACAATTCCTACATTGAGTAGGTCAAGGGAATCCACAATTTTGGGAGGGTCCTAATCTCAATACCTAAAACAGAACCTAATGTTGTTCTAAAAATCTAATAAAAATGCTAGGGGAACATGAATATCTACCCTAAAACATACTAAAAAATCAAAGCCATATTCAACACCAAATGAGAGAACAAAATTCAACAAGGCAGATGATCAAATATGCAAAAATTAAAGAACGAAACAAAATGAGAAAAATCAAATTAAATTGAAAAATGCATGAAAATGCATTTTATTGATTTCAGAAAATCACAAATTCTCTCAAAATCATGGGGATATTTTTAAAATAATTTTTGGATCAAGAATGAATTTATTATGATTTTTTGAATCAATAAAGCATTTAAAATAAAACAAAATGAATAAAAGAAATAATAAAACTCAGAATAAAACACAGCCACAAGATGAGGAGACCAGTCAGCTGATCCAATGCACTAGAGCTTGCCAGCGCATTAAGTGAAACGCCTGCGTTTTGATCCTCAGAAGTCAACAAAAACTTTAAGTTGTGGCCATTGGATCTGTGGTCTAGTCAAGGTCAAAAGCAAGATCTGATGGCTAGGGACTCATCTTCTCCAAAATTCAGGCAGGCCAGGTGGAGATCAAGGATGGTGGTTGATGGTGGCCGGAGAAAACTCCGGTTGTCTTCTCCGGCGAGGGTCCAGGTTCAGGCAACCAAAAATGACAATCTCTACACCAATTCCACTCAGTTTTCAACGTAGATTCCAAATCTCTCATCAAAATGATCTAACTCTCAATAGGTAAGCAAACACGAAGCAATATTCAGAGATGTCATCCAAATCAACTCTCACCAAATGCTAAACTAAGTACACAGAAATCTTCCTCATGTTGCACTGATCATCCTGATCTAAACAATTTGCTACAAAACCTCATGAATCAAGAGATTCAAGTCCAAACAGATCTAATATGTCATCTTCAATCATCACCAATTGAGTTAAATCAAGCCTAAAACGATCTATGTCATGCGTAGATCCTAACCACAAGTCTAACTTTAATCATCTCATGCTAAATCATGATGAATTTTGAGAAACGCAAACCTGGTATAGATCTTGAAACAGAGGTACTTAGAGCTCGTGGCTTGCTTCCAAATGCTCCAGATAGCTTCAATGATCCACAAGGAAGAGATTGCACACCTCAATTTGGCTTGAATTGACTCCAAACTCAGAATCCGATTTCAAGTTGCAGCTGTGAAATTTCAATTGCTCTTTCTAGCTCTGGTGCGAAATGAAGTTCAACCTTGATCTGAACTCACTCTAATGAATATATATAAGAGTTTCATGGGCCTTTGGATCCAAACTGAAGCCCAAAACAGTGGTTTGCATTTTCTGATTTTTGCTTGCAAGTTCACACACCAGTCATGCCATACAAGCTAGTTTCTTGTTCCAGAAGGTTCTAACATCTTGCAAATTGCATTTGGAGTGAATTTGGATTGATAGAATGGTCTGTTATGCCTTGTGCATTGATTTTGCATTTGTAACTTACAAGTGAAGTAACTATATGCTATCTCTCAAGACTTGAGCTAAACTCAAAATTCTGGTATTGCCAATGCTCTTAGAATACAATTTCCAATAAAAAAAGTACTTATTTGCTTGGTTTTGGTCTTGTAACACAAAATCCCATTTTTCCCTCCTTTACACATTTGAATTTTCCCCTTTTGAAACCAATTCAAACCAACTCTTGCTATGAACTCAATCAA